ACTGCAGAAGCTGCACCAATCTGCCTGTCAATCTCCCGTTCCATCCTTCCCTCACTCGTGAACAAGACCCCAAGATACTTAAACTCCTCCACTTGAGGCAGGAACTCTCCACCAACCTGAAGTGAACAAGCCACCCTTTTCCGACTGAGAACCATGGCCTCGGACTTTGAGGTGCTGATTCTCATCTCAGCCACTTCACACTCGGCTGCAAACTGCCCCAGTGCACGCTAATCAATTACTTCAGTTGAATCTACTTGTATAGACTCAGACCACTTTGAGCTGCGGTGTGAATGCAACACGCATGTGTTTTGCAGAATGTATTTTTAGGCGTCGTCCTATGTGGTGTGAAACTTCTGCTGTAAGAGGTTTACCTGACTTTGTCTCTTCTCCTACATTTCTCTCGCTCTGACAAACACAGCAGCTTTGTGTTTTCATACCAAAAATAAACTTCACTTAAGATTTTGTGACAGGCTCACCGCAGCCTATCATCACACCACAATAGTTTGACTCTCTATGAATTCTTGTCACTTCTCAGCCTATAAACCTCTTAAACTGAAGCAGCTGATGATGAGTAGCACCCCCCCATCCCAGGAGAGACACTCGAGGCAGAGTTTTTGAATCTAGGACAGTCGTTAGTGCTCCACTTGACTGATGCGGGCAAACACAACACTCTGTTGTAATCACTGAGTTTAACTGTCTGTAGTTCAGGAGAGCAAGAGCCAGATAGGCTGTGGATCTGTAAAGCAGGAAGTAACTAATCAGAGGATGAAAATGTGTACAGCAACACAAAACTAGATCTGGAAGAAATGATGCGTCAGTGTGGCAGTTGTTTGTTGTCACTCTCTGAAATCCATATTCCACCAGTGAAATGATTATTTTAGATTGACAGTATCACTGTAAACTGAATCTTTTGCAGTCTTGGACTGTTGGTTGTTCTTGAAGAGCTCAGGCTCAAACTTTATATGAAGGCTTTATTTAAAAAGAAAGTTCAGAAGGTTCAAATTTTAACATCTTCAGTTGCATGATAAGGCTCATGTAGTGTGACTGGAAGCTACTGAGTTGACTTTGTGCTGAGACTCTTTTGCTTTGTTGGTTTTGGCACCATGTTATTCTTCTGATTCTGAGCTGCTTTAGATGTGAATATTAATTGCAAATACAACATTTTGCTGCTGGTAGCACTTTGTTCAGAAGACAAATGTGTACTTTGGCTTTAGCTGGTCTGCCCAGTGACTTTCTGCAGCTGAAAAGATAAAATCCTCTGATTCACAGTTAAACAGATTCAGAAAAGTACTTTGGTCAGCTTTCTTTTGATGGCAGGGCTCCAGGCGTTAAACCTTCCTCTAGTTTGCTGTTTGAGGAGGCAGGTTCTGCAAATCAGGCAGAGCTCTGTTAGATCCAAATGGTAAACATCAAATGTCTTGGAGCTGGTAGCACAGTGTGCATGGCTTTCAGGTTTTGTGATAAAATAACCCCAGAAGTGATTAGATTTTGGCTGAAAAAGGTCAAAGTTCACACAAAAAAATTCCATCTTTAACATGGGGCAAAATAAAACAAATCATAGCTCCATCAAAAGTTATCAAAATCTTTAAAAAAAAAATTGACACACATGTAGCGTGGCTATGTCTGTCACCAGACCAGATTTCACCGGGGTCTGAGGGCAGTTTAAAGTTGGCATCGAAAACCCTGTTTAATGCATGTTTTCTGCTATAACGTGGCCAGTATTGAAGACAGAGCGCTGACATGTCCAAGTGTAACTGCAAATCATACCCTAAAAGATGATCCGGATCAAGGATTTTAGGACATTAGTGTTGTTCTGGATGTCATTTTTCACAAAGGACTCGTTTGCGTGAGCAGTTGTTGTGCCTTAGCGGAGGTACATGCACTTTCTGAGTGCTCTTGTTGAGCATGTGCTGGTAGGATGTAAAAAGCTAGGGTCGAGAAAACTGGTAGATTGTTCAAGACAAATAGTGGAAGGTAGCCCAGTGTTAAAACAACAGAAGAAGGAGATGCTCAAAATGCTGCACATCTGTGGAAGACGTTAGTCAGCGTTGTCCTGTCATGGTGCTGTGGAGATGTTTCGCTCTGTTGGACTGCCACTTCTGCCTCTTTGCTGTAAACAAGAAACATATCATTGAACTTCATTACACATAATGAAAGCCCAGCCAGCCAACCTGCCAGTTTTGCTGTCACTTGTCTAACACTGTGACATGAGCCCGACCTATTATTAGTTTAACTCTGCAGCAGAAAGTTCACATCCGCTGATAAAACAGATTTTACATCCAAGCTACGAGTCCTGTGTTTTCAACAAGCAGAGCAAGATTAAAGACGTGTTCTTTTTTTTTTTTTAATCAAAACCCACTCAGCCTGTCTCTGGTTTCTCTCTGTGTTCCTCAGACTCTGAAATAGCGCTGTTGTTGCCTAGCAACCATTACACATGAAAATATAATGAACAAAAGTGAGAGGATGCTGTAATCTGCCTCCTGCAAAGAAGCCGACTGAAATAACTCTCTTATACTGAGTACAGGCTTTGGGTTGAACCTCACCACTTTACATGCACACATCACCACTAAATTACACACTGTACAGTAGGTAACCTGCTGCACACATTAAGGTGTTTCCTGTTGATCAGTCTCTGCTCAGGTTAAAGCTGGTAAGTGTTGAACTGCACCTCAGGTCAGTGGCT